CTCCCTGCCACACCCTCCCGAGTAGCTGGGATTACAGGCACCCACGACCATGCCTGGCTAATTTTTGTATTTTTACAATTTACGTATCTACCTGTTTTACAGAGTTTCGCCATGTTGGCCAGGCTGGTCTTTAACTCCTGACTTCGCGTGATCCACCCATCTTGGTCCCCCAAAGTGCTGGGATTAAAGCTGTGAGCCACCACACCCAGCCAGAATTTTGAAAAGTATAGGTCTTTTGCTTTCCAGCTTTTCAGGGTACTGTTAAAAACTATTACGCTGTCATTCTGATTCCCAGTCCCCAACCCCAAAAATTTTTAGATTTTTTTTTTCTTTGTCCTCTGGGTTAGGAAAGAATATCATAGCAAGCCCTATTATCTGGAAGCTTGTGTCCTTAAGTTCTGACAAATTTTCTTGCATTTTTCTTTAATTTCTTCTTCATTTTCTCTCATCACTTTTTCTGATTTTCTAGCATTTTGAAGTTCGAACTCCTGGAGTGATGTCATTTTCTTATATTTTTGCTTCTGTTTTCCATCTTTTTCATCTAATATCCACAGTATTGCTTTAATTTTTATCTTGTAAACTATTTGTTTTTTCTTTAATATTTCCAAAATTGTTGTTCTCATTTTTTTTCCCATAGTCTCTTATTCTTTTATAGATCCAATAGCCTCTCTTAACTCGGAGGATATTACGGTGGTTTTTTTCTTTCTTCTCCTTTACTGACTCTAATTCCTCTGAACTTCTTTTTTTTTTTTTTTTTTTTTTGAGACGGGGTTTTGCTCTTGTTACCCAGGCTGGAGTGCAATGGCACGATCTCGGCTCACCGCAACCTCCGCCTCCTGGGTTCAAGCAAGTCTCCTGCCTCAGCCTCCCTAGTAGCTGGGACGACAGGCACGTGCCACCATGCCCAGCTAATTTTTGCATTTTTAGTAGAGATGGGGTTTCACCATGTTGACCAGGATGGTCTCGATCTCTTGACCTCGTGATCCACCCGCCTCAGCCTCCCAAAGTGCTGGGATTACAGGCGTGAGCCACCGCGCCCGGCCTTGAACTTCTTTTTTGATTTGTTGTTTTCATCTACAGTTTTCAGCATCGGAAGTTCAATTACCTGGTTGTGCTTTTGAATAAAGGGAGGCTGGGTGTGGTGGTTCACACGTATAATCCCAGAACCTTGGGAGGCCATGGAAGGAAGATCACTTGAGCCCAGGAGTTTGAGATCAGCTTGGGCAACATGGTGAAACCTGTCTCTATCAAAAATACAAAAATTAGCCTGGCATGGTAGTGTGCACCTGTAGTCCCAGCTACTTGGGAGGCTGAGGTGGGAGGATGGTTTGAGCCTATGAGGCAGAGGTTGTAGCGAGCCAAGATCGTACCAGTGCATGCCAGCCGGGGTGAGAGTCACACTCTGTATTTAAAAAAAAAAAAAAAGGAAGGCAATAAAAAGAAAATAAATGCTAATTATAAACTCTCTGCCCAGCTGGGCTCGGTGGCTCATACCTATAATCCCAGCACTTTGGGAGGCTGAGGCAGGCAGATCACCTGAAGTCAGGAGTTGGAGAACAGCCTGGCCAACATGGCAAAACTCCATCTCTACTAAAAATACGAAATTTAGCCAGGCATGGTGGCATACACGTGTAATCCCAGCTCCTCAGGAGGCTGAGACAGGAGAATCGCTTGAACTCAGGAGGAAGAGGTTGCAGCGAGCTGAGATCATGCCACTGCACTCCAGCCTGGAGGACAGAGTGAGACTCTGTCTCAAAAAAAAAAAAAAAAAAAAAACTTTTGCCGGGCACGGTGGCTCAAGCCTGTAATCCCAGCACTTTGGGAGGCCAAGGCGGGTGGATCACAAGGTCGAGAGATCGAGACCAACCTGGTCAACATGGTGAAACCCCGTCTCTACTAAAAACACAAAAAATTAGCCTGGCATGGTGGCACGTGCCTGTAATCCCAGCTACTCAGGAGGCTGAGGCAGGAGAATAGCCCGAACCCAGGAGGCGGAGGTTGCGGTGAGCCGAGATCGCGCCATTGCACTCCAGCCTGGGTAACAAGAGCGAAACTCTGTCTCAAAAAAAAAAAAAAAAAAAAAAAAACAACTGTTATCTATGTCTCTCTTTTTGGGCAGTCAGTTTTTAGAGACCCTCCAAACTCCTACCTTGAGGATATGAGCCTACTATAGTTTTCAGAGTGGGTTGAGGGAAGGGAGCTGGGAAGCATCTCACCATGCAGTATGTAAACTTTCCCTTAACCCCCTTTTCCAGTAAACTGTTACTCTCACGTGTAGCTTGTGTCCCCAAGTCCAGATTCTCTCATTCAGCATCACGTGAAAACAAACTTTTAGTCATGGGAGTGGTGGAAGGCAAGATGGGCAGCAAATCCCTAGTTGTAAATGGTGAGGGAGGAAATTTGGAATCTGATTGTTTTATATATATATATATGGACTTTCATATATATATATATGTTTTATATGTATATATGGACTTTCAGTTGATGCTCTTTTCAGTTCCAACTGAACGTCTACCTTCAGAAATAGCGGATGCCTGTAATGTCTGAGGCTTTCCAGGGTTTCGTGGTTAGAACTGGTTGCTTCCGGTTTCCTGTACCGCTGCTTAGGTTTCAGCTTTCTCGAACTTGCTAAGTCAGTGTGATTCCTCTACTGTTCAGCTTCTAACAATTTGTTGCCCTCATCTGCCCTCCTTTTCTTCATCTTTTGAAGTTTTGACTTTATTCTTTCACTCTCATTATAGCGGCATTTTGTCAGGGATTGGAAGTAAACTGGTCCATTCAGTCTCCCTCCCTTTAACAGGAAGTCTGTTCTAATCCAACTTCTTTCTCCTCTTTCTTCTTTCTCCCAGAATTGGTTCACAAGTATCCTTCCATTTTCTGGCACATCTTTCTCCTAATCAGGAATTTTTCTCCTCTCAGACCTGCAGAGTAGACTACTTCTCTTATACTTGTTTCTAATGAACCATAAAGGTTTCCTGAGGGTCTTCACGGGGTTTTTATTGTTAGTTACTATCAAAAAAGAGACAGGGATTAAAATGGGAAAAGCTCTCAAAGTCTTGAGAGCTAGCTAGGTGAAATAGGAATTCCTTTTGTTCTTAAATGTCTTTTCTACCTATAAGAGGTACATCTGAGTTTTAATATCATGGCATCCTTAGGGTGTGGCTTTGCCAGCCAGAAACCTCTGTGGCCAACAGCACCTTCTGCCTGAGTATTGCTTGCACCCGCTGGGCTCCTTCTGCCCACTTGGCCTGGCAGGCTGCACTTGGCTCATGCTACTGGCCTGGATCCCACACCTGCCAAGGGAGAGCCAGGCACGGAGCAGCAAAGGGATATATGGGTGAGCAATCATGGGGTCCAGCCACTGCACACAGTCCTGCATGCTGGCTGCTGCAGTGAGATGGGCATCTCTATGCACTGGCCCAAGTGCTGGCTCCCTGTGAGGCTACAGTTGGACCATGTGTGCTGCACGTGGTTTCCGCTGTGGGTACCCGCCTCTGAATGAGAGAAACACCATGGTGGCCAGAAGTTTGGAGATGCCAGGAACCACAGAGGCCCAGAGGGTGTCACAGCCCTGGCTCAGGGAGCCCATGGGTCTGGGCTTCCCCAAAGGGCCGCAGCTCTTCTCTCCTCCTCATTGCCTGCAACATGGCCCGCGAGGGGGTGTGTTTCAGCCCTGTTGGTGCTATGCTTTTTCAGTCTCACCACTTGGCGGGTCCCTAGTTTCTGTCCTGCATCCAGGAAGAATGAGGTACACAGACATCTGGAGGATGAGAGAAGTGAAGAGGAGCTTCACTGAGTGGCAAAGCCGTTTTCAGGAGACCTGGAGTGGGTAGCTCCTACCTGCCGTCTGCCCAAGTCTGACTGAGTCTGGAATCTTTATGGGCTTCAGAAGGGAGTCTGTGCAGCCATGAGTAGACCCAGAAAAAGTTCTCACTCCAGTTGGTGAAAGTGCCAGGTTCCTGAACTGGCAGCCAGGCCCCCTGGCTTGAAGGTGGGGCTGTACTGGGGACCTACCCCTTTCCACTCAGGAGCCTGTCTGCTTCCTGCCAGCATCCATGTCACCCATGGTGCCCAGGCTATCGGTGCCAAGGGGCCCCTACAGGACCATGCAAAGCTACCCTTCGCCCGCCACCTTGCCCGCCCTCCCTCTCATGCTTGTCAGTGCCCAAAGTTCAGAGAGGGCTAAGACAGTTAGGGGGCTGCGTGTCCCCACTGCCACAAGCGCGCACACACCCCTCTGGGTCTTGGCAATGCCGAGGCTCGGCCAAAATTTTGCTCCAAAATCAGAGCAGATGAGGGGCGTGAGGAGGGGCCGTGCAGTGGGAGCAGGGATGGTCAGTCTGCAGCCATGGCTGGGCAGCTACAGCTGCACCCAAGAGGGTGGGGTTCCCAACCCTCTAGCTCAGAAGGGGGCAGGTCTCCCACCAGTTACTGGCTCCTGCGGCTCAGTGGAGCACACAGCCCCGGCCACTGCACAGCTGTCATGGCAGTGCCACTCCAGACAGCCTGCTGCTGCCATTACTAATATTTTGAAGCTTTATGAAAGGTTCACATTCATAAGACCTTTCATGATTTTATCAATTTGCATCTTTTCACTGTCCTTCCACGTGGAGGCTGAAGCCTTTTAGTCCATCCTTAAGTAAATGACTGAGTATCCATGGGATACTATCCGTAGTCAAGGGGTATCTCTGTGCTTTAGACTTCTCTCTACAGCCATTCCGATGGGGTTAGGGTGACATCTATAACAGGTGTTAAGCCACTAACACCACCCCTGCAAGGCAGGATCAACAGCATATCCTCTCTCCCTACTGACTTTTGTGAAACCAGTATTCTCCAGTAGTTTTGCATATATGATCTCATTTAATGTTCATAACAGCTCTAAAGGAAATACTAAGTGAAGCACTGAACTCAAACATTTGAATTGATATAGGAAGAGTTGGGGTTTTTCAAAGACAAAGTGTAACGACAAGAGGGCAAAAGTTTTAGAGGCTTGACTCCAGGTGTTCTGTTATTCTCAGGTGCTTTCTTCACCTCTGTGAGACTGGAAAGCTTCACTTCCCTTCAGATGTCAAAGAAGGGCTTCGTCTGGTCTGTCATCTCACAAGTCATGTACTATCTACTGATCTGTTACTATGCCTTCATACAGGTGAGTCAGTAATGTTAGATGTCAGCTTGGGCAATGTGACCAAACCTCATCTTTACCAAACTACAAAAATTACCCAGGTGTGATGGTATACACCTGTGGTCCCAGAGCTTAGGAGGCAGAGGTTGCAGTGAGCCAAGATCACGTCACTGCACCTTAGCCTGATTTATATCTTAAGCCAAACATAGTTATTTCTTCTTCAGTCTCAGGCTTAATAACTAGTTTAGAAATTTTTGCTGGCCATGGTGGCTCATGCCTATAATCCCAGCACTTTGGGAGGCTGAAGTGGGCAGATCTTTTCAAACTAGGAGTTCGAGACTAGCCTGGGCAAAATGTCAAAACACTGTCTCTACAAAAAAATACAAAACTTGGCTGGGCATGGTGGCATGCGCCTGTGGGCCCAGCTACTCAGGAGGCTGAGGTGGGAGGATTGCTTGAGCCTGAGCCTGAGAGGTTGAGCCTGCAGTGAGCTATGATCACACCACTGCACTCCAGCCTGGGCCACAAAGCAAGACCCTGTCTCAAAAAAAGAAACTTGTATTATTTATTTTTAAGTGACAGGCTTATGATCTCCAAGAAAAAGAATAAATGTAATCAGTGGAAATTGTATTAGAAGCCAACTTTTCTGTAAGTGGCATTTCTGAATGACTACAGAGCTCAACTAAGACTATAACTCGTTTGTCTAAGTGAGAGCTGATAAATGCCTCACAGTGTGCTTTGCCCATAGCCATCAGCTGCGCTTGTCACACTTGAGCAGGGAGCAACCTAGCTAATCTCAGACCAGCAGTGGTGACCTTGATCTGTGTTTAGGGTTGTCGGCTAAAACGGCAAAAGTGGAGGTTCTTCACCAGGAAAACAAACATTCTGGACACAAGTATAATCCTCATTAGCTTCATCATCCTGGGACTTGACATGAAGAGTATTTCTCTACATAAGAAAAACATGGCACGGTACCACCATGACCGGGACAGGTGAGAGGAAGCCTGAGGGGCACAGGATACTCCTACCTCATGTCTAAAGTTTCCTGGTTATACGCAAGTATTCTTTCAAACTCCCCTGCCTTCACTGGTCTACCAGATCTGTATTTGTATGGTATCAGAGTTAAAACAGAACTTGGATTCATGTCCACAGCAGGGAAAACAATGAACTAGGCTGGGCATAGTGGCTCGCACCTGTAATCCCAGCACTTTGGGAGGCCAAGGCGGGTAAATCACCCGAGGTCGGGAGTTGGACCAGCCTGACCGACGTGGAGAAACCCCATCTCTATGCCAGGCATGGTGGCGGATGCCTGTAGTCCCAGCTACTCGGGAGGCTGAGGCAGGAGAATCACTTGAACCTGGGAGGCACAGGTTGCAGTGAGCCAGGATCATACCACCGTACTCCAGCTTGGGCAACAAGAGCAAAACTGTCTGAAAAAACCCACAATGAACTAGGAACCATTTAACTGCTAGTCACATTGAAGAGCTCTTCTGCCTTCATTAGTGCTCAGGTATGTGCTTAAGGATAATGAATTTAAGTTTCATAAAGGCCTGGAATTGGTCATTATTTTGCACTCTGGCAAAGGCATAAAGCCTGATGCATGACAAATAATGCCTTAAATGAAAGCACAACACATAGTCCACCCTTTAAATTCAAAGGGAGTTGCTTTCTGGGTAGGGATTTCATCCATTCACTCATCCATAGCAAGAGATGTTTGGCACCCCATTGGGTGCCTTCTCTGGTTTTTCCTGCGGAAAGGAACATCGGTCTGTTTCCCACAGCAAGTGTTGCCAAGTGATGCTTTGCTAAGCTTTTCATCAGTGGCCAACGGCCTGGGCAATGATCTGTGTGACTTTTCCTGAGGCATTGTTTCAAGCAGGCCTTATGGAGAGTAGTTTATGTAGGGACTGTGTCTGTGCAGAGCACCGCTTCCTAATGTCTGTGGGGGTCCTTACAAGTCACCTGGTTGCTGCAACCTAAAATTATGAATGTATGTCTCATAAAATAAAACTTAATTGTTGAGCAACACCCCTCGCCTCTAGTCTGCCAGCCATCATTTTGTTCTAAGTATTATTAAACCTATTACATCAATCCTGTACTGCCAGAGAACAACACAGGATTAGCATGCCGCAGAAAACAGACCAGCAGAATGGCTCTTCTCTCTGGGTTAAGTTAATCTCCTTTTGAGAGGAGAGATTTGGCTCAGAGCAGTGCAGGAGGCTGGTTTTTTCTTCCCAGGATGAATTTAAAGAAATCAGCTGGAGGTCACATTTTAAAGTTTCTTCAGCACAGCTCCCAGTGCCATCTGCAGCAGGCAGATCATTTGAATAATACATGGCCTTTTGTTTATTCCCATATCCACAACTCACAGGAGACCACACTAGAAAGCAGTTCTCATATCAACCAGCATTCGATCTCATAAGACTCAGCGCTGCTGCGCTCAGCAGGAGGGGCGCTGGGGAAACCGTGGTACAGACGCATAGTCTTCTTGCTCAGTAACTGTCAGCTTTCTTTGGTGCAGGTTCATCAGCTTCTATGAGGCAGTAAAAGTGAACTCTGCTACAACCCATCTCGTGGGCTTCCTGGTTCTGCTGGCAACTGTTCAGTTATGGAACTTGCTGCGTCATAGCCCCAGGCTGTGGGTCATCAGCAGGACACTGAGCCAAGCCTGGGACGAGGTGGTGGGCTTTCTGCTGATCATCCTCATCCTGCTGACAGGCTATGCCATTGCCGTAAGTCCCCACATTGCTGTCTCTCCTTCCACGTGAACTGTGGTCTTTTTTTTTTTTTTTTTTTTTTTTTTTTTTTTTTTTTTTTGAGATAGTCTTGCTCTGTTGCCCAGGCTGGAGTGCAGTGGCGCGATCTTGGCTCACTGAAACCTTCACCTCCTGAGTTCCAGCGATTCTCTTGCCTCAGCCTCCACAGTAGCTGGGACCACAGGCGTGTGCCACCACACCCAGCTTCTATTTTTTTTTTTTTTTTTTTGTAGAGACGGGGTTTCACCATGTTGGCCACGCTGATCTCGATCCACCCGCCTCAGCCTCCCAAAGTGCTGGGATTACAGGTGTGAGCCACCTCGCCAGGCCCACTGTGGTTGTTTTATCACTTCCCATAGAAACGGTTATGACACAGAAATCTGAGGTGGCAGAGTAAGAAAGCCGAGTTTAGTTCTAGTTCCATATTTAACTAGTATAATTTAAACCCACAGGTTTGTCTCTAAAATGGGGATAAAACTTAGCTCACAAAGTAATATAAAGGTCAAATAAATTTATATGAAACCACTATGTTAGGCCCGGCGTGGTGGCTCAAGCCTGTAATCCCAGCACTTTGGGAGGCTGAGGTTGGTGGATCACAAGGTCAGGAAATGAAGACCATCCTGGCCAACACGGTGAAACCTCGTCTCTACTAAAAATACAAAAATTAGCTGGGTGTGGTAGCGCCAGCCTATAGTCCCAGCTACACAGGAGGCTGAGGCAGGGGAATCGCTTAAACCTGGGAGGCAGAGGTTGCAGTGAGCCAAGATCAGACCACTGCAATCCAGGCTGGCGACAGGGCAAGACTCCATCTCAAAAAAAAAAAAAAAACCACTGTGTTATTACAAAGAAAGAAAGTTTATGTATTCTTCGGGGTTTAATTTGGCCACAAGGAATTTCTTTCTGTTCCTTTGGTTAAATACCAGCTACATCGCCAAGCACCTCAGGACAGAAAGATGGGTGCTCCCTCACACTAACCTCAGGACAGAAAGATGGGTGCTCCCTCACACTAACCTCAGGACAGAAAGATGGGTGCTCCCTCACACTAACCTCAGGACAGAAAGATGGGTGCTCCCTCACACTAACCTCAGGACAGAAAGATGGGTGCTCCCTCACACTAACACACCTCAGGACAGAAAGATGGGTGCTCCCTCACACTAACACACCTCAGGACAGAAAGATGGGTGCTCCCTCACACTAACACACCTCAGGACAGAAAGATGGGTGCTCCCTCACACTAACCTCAGGACAGAAAGATGGGTGCTCCCTCACACTAACACCCCTCAGGACAGAAAGATGGGTGCTCCCTCACACTAACACCCCTCAGGACAGAAAGATGGGTGCTCCCTCACACTAACATCAGGACAGAAAGATGGGTGCTCCCTCACACTAACAGTCCTTTCGCCTTCTGTTCAGTTTAACCTGCTGTTTGGATGCAGTGTCTCTGACTACCGGACATTTTTCAGCTCAGCAGTGACTGTTGTTGGTCTCCTGATGGGAATTTCTCACCAAGAGGAGGTAAAAAAAAAAAAAAAGTTTCTCCACAGAATTCTATTTAATATATTGAACAAGGAGAGTTGGGGGAGGTGCTTCTTATGAAAACAGCCCCCTACTGTGCACTGCACACTGGAAAGGTGGGAAATTTCAGTCCTTTGCTCTTTTGCTTCATGGTACTGCCTACACATACAGTGTATACATGGCTGTTGCTTTCAGAAATGCCTCTTGCTAAGCACTTAGTCCCTCCTTCCTCACTTCTTGTGTCCTTTATATTATTATTAGCAAAAAACACTGGGCCGAACCTTGTGCTGTTGTGCTTGGCCAGATCAACATGATTCTCAATGGCCCTTTTAAAGTGCATTAACAGGGCAGGGTGAGTTAGCTCAAGCTGTGAGAGGCCAAGAGAGGACTGCATAAGGCCAAGAATTTGAGACCAGCCTGGGCAACATAGTGAGACCTTCGTCTCTACAAAAAATAAAAATTAGCCAAGTGTGGTGACACAGTTTATAGTCTTAGCCACTCAGGAGGCTAAGGCAGGAGGATCCTCTGAGCCCAGGAGTTGAAGGCTGCAGTGAGCCATGATCATGCCACTGCACTCCAGACCCTGTGTTTTTTTTTTTTTTTTTTTTTTTTTTTTTTTTTTTTTTTTGAGACGGAGTTTCACTCTTGTTACCCAGGCTGGAGTGCAATGGCGCGATCTCGGCTGACAGCAACCTCCGCCTCCTGGGTTCAGGCAATTCTCCTGCCTCAGCCTCCTGAGTAGCTGGGATTACAGGCAGGTGCCACCATGCCCAGCTAATTTTTTGTATTTTTAGTAGAGACGGGGTTTCACCATGTTGACCAGGATGGTCTCGATCTCTTCACCTCGTGATCCACCCGCCTCGGCCTCCCAAAGTGCTGGGATTACAGGCTTGAGCCACCGCGCCCGGCTTTTTTTTTTTTTTTTAATAGCCAGGTGCAATGGCTCATACCTGTAATCCCAACACTTCAGGAGGCCAAGGCTGGCGGATCACTTTGCGGTCATGAGTTAGAGACCAGCCTGGCCAACATGGTGAAACCCTTTCTCTACTAAAAATACAAACATTAGCCGGGCATGGTAGTGCATCCCTGTAATCCCAGCTGCTGGAGAGGCTGAGGCAGAACTGCCTGAACCTGGGAGGTGGAGACTGCAATAAGCCGAGATTGTATCACTGCACTCCAGCCTGGACAAGAGAGACTCTGTCTCAAAGCAACATAATGGAAGTGACAAAGAATTTTGAAGGTACAGTTCCAAGAGGAACTGCATTATTTCTGTTCAGTTAATAAATACTTCAGAGAGCCTATTATTTCCTCCCAGGAACTACCAATAAATAGAAATCCCTGCCTTCCTACTCATATAAAGTAGGAAACCCAAATGAGGCATTGGGCTCCAAACACTAGTATGAAGGGTAGACACGTTCAGGCAAGGAAATATCTGCCATTTAAGCAGTGAAACTGGCAAGATTTTGATAATGGTTGACCATTCTGATGATCTACAATTTCAAAATTACTAATTAAAATCGGTGGTAGATTCAGTTTTTAATGTTGTATCCAGAGGTTCTACATCCACAGATTCAACTAACCCCAGAATGAAAATATTTGAAGATAACAAAAAATAACACATCTTTATAAAATACAGTAGAAGAGTCGGGCATGGTAGCATGTACCTGTAGTTCCACTTACTTAGGAGGCTGAAGTGAAGATTGCTCAAACCCAGTAGTGAGGCTGCAGTGAGCTATGATGGTGCTACTGCTCTGAGCGGGACTCTTCCACACACACACAAATCACAAACCGGTGTTAACTATTTTACGTAGCATTTACACTGCATTAGGTACTAGAGGTAATCTGAAGATTAAAGTACAGGAGAGATGTATATAGGGTTTATGCAAATACTGTGCCATTTTTAAAAAAGGACTTTCTAAGCCAGGCACAGTGGCTTATACCTGTAATCCCAGCACTTTGGGAGGCCAAGACAGGGCAGATCACTTCAGGTCTGGAGTTCAAGACCAACCTGGCCAAAATGGTGAAACCCCATCTCTACTAAAACACAAAAATTAGCCAGGCATGGTGGTGTGGGAACCTGTAATCCCAGCCACTCAAGAGGCTGAGGTAGGAGGTGGAGGTTGCAGTAAGCCGAGATCACCCCACTGTACTCCAGCCTGGGTGACAGAGGGATACTCTGCCTCTAAAAAACTTTTTAAAAGGGTTGAGTGAGGGGAACACTTTCTTAACCTTTAGGGAAGCCTGCAATAAATAAAAAATAAGGGATTTAAGCACCCTCAAATTTTGGTAACTGTGGAGACCCTGGAGCCAATGTCTCAGATACTGAGAGACAACTGTAACTGCTATTTTCACTGACTGGGCTGTTCTGCTGTGGTCCTAGTTCCAATAACTAGGGGATGAGCCTTCACCACTGGAGCACTTTGTATCCAAAGCAGTGAAGGAAGTCACAACCAGAATAACTTTTGCTGAAACCTGCTTTTTGATTGGGGGGAAAAAAATTTTTCTGCTTTTGATGTAATTGTACACCATAAAAAGAGTAAACTTATTGGAAAAAAGTCTTGTATCACAAACTCAAGAGACTGCCTACATTATCTGGTTGACCTGAAATTTTTATGATAAGCATTTTTAAGTGGGTAACAGTTTGGTGCTTGAAAATATTTTGTCATAAAGATTTCCATCAGGATAGTGTTTAAAAATATCCTGAAAGGGGATGATTATCATAAACAGTGCCCTAGTGGCAACAATGAATGGGCCAGTACCAAGGGAAAATACATACCATTTGTTGAAAAAGAACACCTGAATTTTAAAAAATTTTGTTATGACAACCATTCTAGTAAGCCCAGAACTTGATATTTATTTATGCAGAAAACTAAAGAATGACAGAACTCAATACTTACACCTTCAAAAATGACAATGGGAAAAACGAGCACCAAAAAGCCAGTTTTCCGTGGCCAACTTAACTTTTATTGGAATGCTCCTGTTAAGAGTTGTGGTTTTTTGATATGGCAGAGACAGTTTGCATTCTCACTTCTGGTATGCATTTATTCTTTCAGTGCGCGTGACCCCTTTTAGCTTCAATGATTAGATGTATTTTCTGGAATTGCCAAAACTGATGTGACATTTGAATCATTTCCAATCCCACTGCAACTCACCTGTTTTCTTCTTGTGAAAGCCCTGAAGTCAAAATTATCTTACCTCCTTAAAATCAGTCATTCCTGCTCCTCTGTTCGTTTGTAAGTATTTTCTCCCAGGTGTGGTGGCTCATGCCGGTAATCTCAGCACTTTGGGAGCTGAGGCAGGCGGATCATGAGGTCAGGAGTTTGAGACTAGTCTAATGTGGTAAAACCCCGTCTCTACTAAAAATACAAAAATCACACGGGTGTGGTGGCACGCACCTGTAATCTCAGCCTCCAAAAGGCTGAGGCAGGAGAATCTCTTGAACCCAGGAGGCGGAGGTTGCAGTGAGCTGAGATCACACCACTCCAACCTGGGCAACAGAGACTCCATCTCAAAAAAAACAAAAAACAAGTATTTCCTTCTGAGTATCTTTTTGCCTCTCTCCCTGTTTTCATCAGATAAGCTTTTCTTCTGAAAAGACCCCACACTTTAGCATATAGCTTATGTTTGTAAAGTTGAAACTAAACAGTCAGTCACTGCAAGTGTTACTGCCTTCCCAGGTTATCGCTTTAGACCCAGTCCTGGGCACCTTCCTGATCCTCACCAGTGTCATCTTGATGGTACTTGTGGTAATTAATCTTTTTGTTTCCGCCATTCTAATGGCCTTTGGAAAAGAAAGAAAGTCACTTAAGGTAGGTAACCAAAAGATAAACTAGCATGCTATTATGTCACTGGGAAAACTCCACTGTAATTGCCCCTAAGACTTTATTTATAATGCACAGAATCATATTTTATTTCAGAAGCTCTGCCGGCTATCTTCCTAGGAAACCCAATTTATAAGACTGTTCCAGAGCCACTGTCTTATAAATAGCTGGGTCTCAGCCATTAATTAGATAGTGGAAGCACTCCAATGCCCGACTGTAAATTATTAAAACAGTATCTTTACTATACATTAATTTTTTAAAAATTTTGGGTACATTTTTACTCCAGTATTAGTAATTTCAGTTTTCTCACATTTCTCTTTTTGTCTGCAAATACTCAGAGACAAGTTGCACTAATAGATACGCTGCTACTGAAGCTCTCAAATTTGTTAGGAATCCGTCAGCCCCAAAAAACGTCATCTGAGCAAGCAGCTACGACATCAATGGGCATTGACAGTGAAGTTTTAGAAGACGAACTACCTTAATCCTGTTTTCTCCTTCTTGGCTTAGTATTTCTTAGCATATTACTACTTATCTTTGCATGGCATGACTTTACAATAGTAATATACTTTGTTTTTGATTCTGCAAGTTAGTGAGAAATTGGAATCCCCTTGGTCCCAAGTTCTTAGGGATCTTGGCACCGTCAAGATGGGATTAACACCGCAAGAATACTACCAGACAAACCAGCTTGGCTGCCAAGCACCAAATAACGGAACACTCACCACCCATGGCCCAGGATGGCTTGGGAAACGGAGGAGTAAGAAGTGAGCTCACTGCAACTTACTAAAAATAAATATACAAGGATGAGGCATAGCAGATGCAGAGCCCTGCCACTGAGGAGGACCAAATTCACAGATGCTATCTGGGCTATCTAAATACAGAAATCAAAATGAGCCCTGCACTGCTGCAGGAATCCTGAAGTTAAGGGCTGGTTGACATGCATCGCTTGGTTAAAATATTCTCCACTGAACTCCAACTTTCTACTTCATCATCTGAGCAAACAGAGAAAGCAGGACACAGGATCTTTAACTTTATTAGCTACTGAGCTACAGAATACAAACCAACTGAAAATATTAAAGAAAGTCTGCTTGAAACAGGTATGTACAGGTATACTACACAGAAGCGAAAGCCATATCCAATCCCAAAGCCACCCCTGTGGGGAAGAATGGCCTTAGCTATGAGCCAAAGGAGTACAGAAGTTACAACATGAGAGTCCCATCCATCCAGAAAGCAGTGAACAACTACAGCTGCATGGGCACCAAAAATTTATCTGACATTAGTTTTAAAGGTTCCATGAATCGGTTTTGAAATGAAAACAGGTACCCCTCTTTTCCTGTAGGCTTTCCAGCTCACTACCCAAAAGACTTGAGTACTTCTATTAAGGCAGCTGGAAGCCCACCCTAGACTTGAATGACAGCCTGTCCTTTCTTTACCAGTAATGCAATCCAACAGAATATGCTATGGGAAAAACAGGAATTTCCACAGTGCTGCCCTCTGGTAAAAGGGAAATACAGCACTCAAAGCAAAGGCCACAGAGGGCTCCCTGAGAATCCAGTACAACTAAGCGAGGCCTTCAATTGTTGAGACAAACTTTGCAACTGGATCCTGGTGGGACAGTGCCCTGTGGCGAGGAGTAGTGTATATGCCAATGAGAGGGCCCAGCTTCCAGGAACCGTTACAATGGCGTCCTGAGTCATTTTCTCTCTCCCAGTCGCATTAGAGTGTGAGAAAACACACACCATGGCCTTGATTCTCAATCACCACAGTCCCCTGTACAGAGGGGTTTGTTTCTAAGTCTGGAACCTCAACACGAGGCTGGGGCATTTCATGAGGTGCTCTCTCTCCCACTGTCCAGCCATCTTTGGTGGTCTCTCCCCGGTGCTTACCATCCTCTCATGCTCCCGTGGAGGGACCGTGGGACGAGCCAGGAGGAAACCTGGGATCACTCTGACGGGAAACCTACAAGCACAGCTGCCAGGAACCAGCTGCTCCGGCCTCAGTCTCCAGTTGTTAAGATCAACAGAGCACTGGAAAGCAGCAGAATCTGGAGGAGCAGGAAGAGAACCCAGAGGAGGAGTGCTGTGCTCAGTGATGGTTAACAGATGAAACAGAATTTCATGGAGATTCTTTGTTACAAGGAGATTGCTCAGTCTCAACTCCCAAAATGTGAAAGTTGCCTGGTTTAAGAGACCTATGTTTTCTTTTTCAGCTCTTCAAACCTCCGGGAAAGATCATCAAAGTCAATGTCTTCAGAGGCTGAGGTGCTGGCACCAGCAGACGCAGTTGGTAGCGTATCTGGCACAGACGGCAATTCCGGTAGGACAAAGTTGTCATAGTGATCCACAGGTCTGGAAGGAAGCTTTGCAGAGGCTTCTGGCTTGGGTCCAGGACCTGATTCAATTAAGGCAGGGAGCACAATGTTACAAATGCCAAAGAAATGTCCTGGATCCCCTTTCGCAGTAAAAACAAAATGATCAAAATACAGGAGAAAACCCTAGTTAAAAAAAAATTTTTTTTAGTGAGTCTCTGTTGCCCAGGCTGGAGTGCAGTGGCATGATAACGGCTCACGGCAACCTCCGCCTCCCGGGTTAAGAAGCTGGAACTAAAGGCAGACACTGCCACGCCTGGCTAATTTTTGGATTTTTAATAGAGATGGTGTTTCACCATGTTGGCCAGGCTGGTCTTCAACTCCTCATCTTAAATGATCCACAAACCTCAGCCTCCCAAAGTGCTGGGATTACAGGTGTGAACCACCACACCTGGCTACCAAAAATTCTAATTCTGAAGGCTAATAATTATCTACATTTTCTAATTAGGGTTGAATCCTATCTGTTTTACTTTCCTGTGGTGAGAAAAAAAAGTGGGACACATGGGGCCATATCCACAGAGCAATCACCTAAAGACAGTGGCCCTTTCATAAGGTCTGCTACTTTACCAACAAAGTCCAAGGAGTGGAAAAGGATTCTGCTAGAACACTGCTTCCTTAAGAACCAACATTCTTTAGGGATTAGGGGCAAAGTTTTTTTAAAGGAATAAATGTCCAGGTTATTTGATACGATGGTCCGATCTGTATTTCCAGTCTTCCATTTAGTAGTTTGTTAAAAACACACCCCAACACACACCTACTGTATGTTTTCATCAGTTCTAGAATGAGGAAAACTAAACTAAATAACAAAAAAATCCTAATAGTGCTCTGACTCTGGAGGAAAGGGCAGAGTTGACTGGAAATAAGGGAACTTTGAGGTAAGAATAACATTGTATACCTTGATCACAGAGTCAGATTCTATGTGTGTGTATTTATATACATACACATACTTAAAATCTATGGGTTTTTTTTTTGAGACGGAGTTTCGCTCTTGTTACCCAGGCTGGAGTGCAATGGCACGATCTCGGCTCACCGCAACCTCCGCCTCCTGGGTTCAGGCAATTCTCCTGTCTCAGCCTCCTGAGTAGCTGGGATTACAGGCACACGCCACCATGCCCAGCTAATTTTTGTATTTTTAGTAGAGACGGGGTTTCACCTTGTTGACCAGGATGGTCTCGATCTCTTGACCTCGTGATCCACCCGCCTCGGCCTCCCAAAGTGCTGGGATTACAGGCTTGAGCCACCGCGCCCGGCCCATCTATGGGTTTTTTAATATAAATTATATCTCCATAAAGCAACTGTCTCTAATTTTAAAAGTATTCTTCTGACCAGGTGTGGTAGATCACCTGAGGTCAGGAGTTTAAGACCAGCCTGGCCAACATGGTAAAACCACATCTCTACTAAAAATACAATAATTAGCCAGGTATGGTGGTGTGTACTTGCAGTCCCAGCTACCTGGGAGGCTGAGTCAGGAGAATCACTTGAACCCAGAAGGCAGAACCCTCTGGGTTCCTGGTATTTTTTTTTTTTTTTTTTTTGAGATGGAGTTTCGCTCTTGTTACCCAGGCTGGAGTGCAATAGCTCGATCTCGGCTCACCGCAACCTTCGCCTCCTGGGTTCAGGCAATTCTCCTGCCTCAGCTTCCTGAGTGGCTGGGATTACAGGCACGCGCCACCATGCCCAGCTAATTTTTTTGTATTTTTAGTAGAGACGGGGTTTCACCATGTTGACCAGGATGGTCTCAATCTCTTGACCTCGTGATCCACCCGCCTCGGCCTCCCAAAGTGCTGGGATTACAGGCGTGAGCCACCGCGCCCAGTCGGGTTCCTGGTATTTTAAGACAGGGCTTCACTTTGTCATCCAGGCTGGCATACAAGTGATAGCTCACTGTAACCCTGAATTCCTCAGTAGCTGTGACCACAGGTCTGTACCACCAAGCCCAGCTATGGTTTTTTTTTTTAGTATTTTGTGGAAACAGGATCTTGCTATGTTGCCCAGGCTGGTCTCAAACTCCTGGCCTCAAGTGGTCCTTCTGCCTCTGCTTCCCCAAGTACTCAGATTACAAATGTGAGTCACCACACCTGGCCAGTATTTAATTGATAGCTACATGAACAGGTTTGCTTTGTAAAATTCACTGAGCTATTTGAGGCACAATGTAAGCTGAAGCAGCAATAATATAGCATGACTGAAAAAGAATAATGATAACACTGACAGGAAGAGGGAACTTGGGAGCTTCTTCTGGGCCAGGGAAAATCTTTAATTATTGGAAGCAGGATATCCTGAGTTGTATTTTAGCACGTGGGATGAGAACAGAGCATGCAGATAGAATGCCACAGGCATGGAAACGGTCTCTAAGGGAGGAACAATAATGAGAAAACAGAGGATTCAGCACTAAGCCTTGAAGTTCTGATTGATACTACTCACCAACAATCTGTGCAGAAGAGATATTCTTATCAGGATTAATGTCATCAACCTGAAACACAAAGATTGTTACTAGAGGAAACAGCAATGGCATCACTGAAGAAAGAACTGATATAAGCCCCTGTGTTTCCAAAAGCTGAGTTGCACACTAAGTGCAACAGAGCCTGCTTCAAAGAACTGCCCCTGCATTTCTTCCAATCAGGTAGATAATGTTAAACTCCTTTGTTTTTAATTGAGAGAGGGTCTCCTCCTGTCACCCAGGCTGGAGTGCAGTGGCACAATCATGACTCACTGCAGCATCTACTTCCTGGGCTCCAGTCATTACCCTACCTCAGCCTTTCACATAGGTAGGACTGTAGGCATGCAGCACCATGCCTGGCCAATTTTTGTATTTTGGGTAGGGACAGGGTTTCACTATGTTGCCCATGCTGGCCTTGAACTCCTGACCTCAGGTGATCTGCCCGCCTTAGCCTCCCACAGTGCTGGGATTACAAGCGTGAGCCACCGGGCCCAGCCTCATGTTGAGCTCTTAACTGCAAAACAGAAAAAATCCTTACCACACTGACACCTTTCGGCAAAGAGAAAGTATTCCTGAATATATTCTGTAAGAACCAAGTCCTCAAATACTGATGAAGGTTTTTGACCTCATTCCTACAACCAGCTGTGGGTTATGCTCTGACACATGCAAAAGCAAAGCATTAGAAAAACTCAGGCCCAAGGTAGAACACATCAGCTAGAGATGGAAACCAAATGAAAGAACAGAAAGCAAGCTCAGGAACAGGAAGAACTTCCTAGATGACTAATTTACATAGCAAATGCCATACCAATTTCTTTCTCAGTAAAAAACTAGATGGAGACAGGTCTTAAAAGGCATACAGTAACTGAGGAAACAAGGTTGGTCAAAAACAAGCACTAAACCACCTCCAGTTCAAGGTATCATTATTATATTAGCTGTTCATTAGTAAGTTTTGACTAGAATACTAAAATGTGAAATCAATACTACTGCTAGTCATCTATTAACTAGATAATTCTGGTCAATATTCCTTTACATATGTTGAGAACATGTAAGATGAATATTTTAATAATTATGATACTCTAGCACCACGACTTTATCAGCTCAATGTGATCCTTTGCCTAGTTAGTCCAAACAACCAGTTAAGTGCCCTCACAGAGTACTCCAACTTTCTAAAAAATCTGCAGTTCCTTCCTGATGCCTGGCTTAATTGCGGA